AAAGCCAACATGCTGGCCGGGCCCGGGCATGGGCAAGGCTGGATCGAGGTGCTCTTAACGCGGCGCCGCCGCCGCCGCCTCCCCCGGAAAGCCGGCGCGGCAGGCTGGGACGATCGCCGACCGCCCTCGCCTTGGCCGGCCAAACGGCGGGGACATTTTCAAAGTGGCCGCTTGGAGACGGCACCCACCCTGGCACCTCCGCCCCGGGGAGGGAGGGCCAACTCCGCCCCTGGCCAGCCGCTTAACCTGCCTCCGGGCGCCGTCCTTGAGTATCTCAACGGGTTGGGGAGAAGCGGCCGGGTTTCTTGGCAGCTTGGCCGGTGTAGAAGTGGGGGTGGCTTGGCTGGCTGGGGCCGTTAAGAGGACCCCGAAATCCCCGCGAGGAAGCCTGCCTCTCTCCAAACCTTGGTGCGTGTGGATTCAGCCCCTTTTGCACCCTTGCACAAATCCAGCCTTGCGTTGAAATCCAAGCGGGGTTAGAGCTAATGTAAGGCTTGGATGAGAAGCCATAAGGAAAGCCTGGCGTTTATTAATCAATAAACATAAATATTTTTTAAAAAAATAGACTGGGAAGTGCAAAATCACTGTAGAAGAAGGCAATGGGGGGGGGGGAAACTGCCTAGTGAACGCACTTGGATACTCCTTCCGCTTGTAGGAGATTCTTCTCTTTTGCTGCCATCCCAAGAAATGTTTACTGTTGGAGCCAAGTCCTTTGAAAAATGCCAACCTTTGCAGGCCATTGCAGAATTTGGCTCCCCTGCAGGGGGAACAGCCAGCTCTCTGCAAACAAGACATTAATAAAACCTTGTCAGGGACACCGAGCTGTCTTGGCTGCAAAGGAAGCCAAATTTAGAACCCACTCAGTCTAAAAAGACTCACCGTGCTTGTGAGATCAAAATAAGAGTTTTGCAGAGCCAGGTCATTTTTCTTCTTTTCACCCATAAAAGGGGAAGCCATTATTCTGAAATTAATTCTTAGCTTTCCCCAAAGATCCAGAAACAAGTGACAAAGGCTAGGTTCACATCTTTACATCCTTGGTTTACCTAACTGGTGGCTTGAATAAGCTTCCAAAATCCACTGAGCATCCTTAAAAATCGGCAGGGCAGAAAAAGTTTTGTGGGAAAGGTAAAAAGTTTCTTAGGAGGTGGTGGGAAGCTAAGTCCCATCCTCCTTTTTGATAAATACTTAGTGACTTGTCCACCAGGGGGCACCCAACACATACTTTCAAAATTCCACACCTTCTGTGCTCCCTCTAACCCCCCCCCCAAAAAAAAGTGTTGCCTTTTTGCACAAAGGAATGTGCACTTCCAGTTAAGCTTGGAATCCTAATAGAATGAGCTTAATTAAAAAGAAAATGCATTGGCTATATATGCTGAAGCTGGACCATTTAACCCAAGCTGAGAAACTGAGCTGGTGGGGAGAGCAAGGTTACTCAGCCCTGAAGCTCCCTGGATGACTTTGTTTCAATCATTTTGCCCGGCCTGGGTTATAGAAATGTCGTGAGAATGCTGTAATTGCAGACAGAAAGTTCATGGATGAAAAGAGGTTAATCAATGCAAGGGAAATTAAAAACAGCCATAGTCTCCACTGGAAATTTAGCAGTGGATGTGCCTTTTCCAAGATGGTCCAAATTGCTCGCAGCATCAGTTCTTCCTTGCTAATCCCACCAATTAGACTTCGTTCGTTTTCCCTTACCATAAATTGTCCCCTTTTTTAAAAAAAAAGTCAATGGTGGCTTTCTGTCTAAAAAGAAACAGAACTGGAGCTGTGTTTTTAGCTGGAGAGGAAGACAGCTGTGGGTTACTCAGTTACAGAACAGGGTCTCAAGTTGGCCTGTTGGTGTTCAAGGCAGATAATCTGGAACGATCTCCATAGAAAAACTAGGGAAGTCATCGTTGTAGGACTGAGACAAGCCAGGACCGGGAGGATCAGAGTGGAAAGACAAAGGAAACAGTATGTGCAAACTAAGCCATGCAAGAAAATTTCCCAGAGAAAGATGGATAATTGGAGAGAAAACCATCTATAGTCCTTTCTCAGAGCCGATAAAATCCATCCCATCAGAGATTTAAAGCACACTATAGACCCAATTCCACTAATGCAATAAACATGATTCCAAGATACAGACTTATTAAAAAAAGTCACTGAAGAAGCCAACTCGTACACAACAGAATTCAGTGTTTGCTGAGGGGTGTGTGTGTTTGTGTGACATTTTTAAGCATTGGCAAAACAGTATTGAAGAGAGCATGAAATTATACCTCCAGAGAGTGCCTAAAAACTCTGTGGATTGATTTGAAAGGGAGGACATTCCACCCCATTGAATCCCAAGCATTGGAAGCAAGACAGCAAACCTTGGGATTTCATCCAGAAACAACCTGCTCATTAATTTTGCCAGTTGGGGCCAGGTTTCTGGCAACAGCGTTTTTCTGAAGTTTGTCACTTGCAAAGGCAGCTCTGCCTAAATAGGGCTGGCAAAGATGTGGATATCAACTCTCACTAGCCCTGGTCCCAGACAGGGATCTAGTTATATAAAACATCTGCAGGGCATCGGATTGCTTTCCTGCAACCCTTTTAGGATATTCCAACTGTAAACTTTGTTCAGGAATTCAACCATTTGCCTTTAGGGTTGCCTTCAACACCAGCGCCAGGAAATTTCTTCAACTGTGCATTACTTTGAAACTTGACAGTAATCCTCTTTGACTGCTGCTCCCAGGGACTTGGAACAGAACCTGGGCTGTTTGGACTACATCTCCCATTCTCCCCAGCTAGGAGGGACATTAAATATCAGACAGTCCCTCCGGAGGACCTAGGACTGGAGAAGGTGGCTCTCAACCCTACCTGTGGTATTTATTTCTGTGGCTGGCAGCAATTTGGAACAAATCTGAGATTCCCTCCAAATAGGGACTCAGACTGTTGGTTCCTACCACAAATGCCCTATAAAAGAGATGGATAGCTGGGACGGGAAGAAGGAATATCCAAGTGGGAAAAAAAATCTGCCTTTGCTCTTGATTTCTCAGCAGAGGTTTTAGGACCGATGCCAAACCACCCTGAATCCAGACTGTGTCAGCTTTGATCAGACAGCTGGTGAAAGGCCTTGCATCTCTCTAACCCCTGAGTGATTTGGAAACGTGGCTTGTCCGCTACGTGGCCAGGCAGATGAATTCGCTTTGGATTAATCTGTTTGGAAAGCGCTATTTATAGCAGGCTGCCAGGGCCTGGGATGCATTAAATCAAAACTTGGAAGAGGCCTCCTCTCTCTTGGTTAACACTTTTATGGAAGCCCAGCTACATTTCCATAATCCAAGTTCTCCTCTTGTTAAGAGACACCGGCTCCTGTTAGCCTTTGGTGGTCTCCCAGGGCCTGGCTTCTTTGCAGAGTTGAACTTTGATGCCTTCCCAAGTCATGTTCTGCTTGAAACACTTTCCCTTTGATGTCCAACACGGAGCCCCCCAGGCAGCTCAGCCCTCTTATGTACAGCGTCACTGCCTTCCCATTAAAAGCAACAAAGAGGGTCGTTTCCATAAAGTCTCCTGGCAGACACTCAAAGAGGAGAACGTACATTTGCTTGCGGAGAAATACAAATATGGATTTAACTTCTGGTTTCTCTTGGCCGACCATTTGATCCAGATGGTATAAGGCAGAGGTCTCCAAACTTGGCCACTGTAAGACTTGTGGACTTCAACTCCCAGAATTTTCCAGCCCAGGAGAATTCTGGGAGTTGAAGTCTTAAAGTTGCCAAGTTTGGGGACCTCTGGTATAAGGTCTCCTGCCTTGAGCAGGGTGGGAGGGTTGGACTAGAAGACCTCTGAGGCCCCTTCCATCCCTACAATTCTATGTTCTGTGTTGGCTTTCCATAGTGATTCAACCATGTCGGTAATCAGGCAATGATATTTGCCATACTATATTATTGAATAGGATAGAATAACAGACTTGGAAGGGACCTTGGAGGTCTTCTAGTCCAACCCCCTGCTTAGGCAGGAAACCCTATACCACTTCAGACAAATGGCTATCCAATTGGTTAGTATTCTAGTTCTATATGCCCATTACAGTCAGACCTTGTTCTGGGTTTCAGATCTAGAATTTTTTCCCCCTCCAATGTTGCCACTGTTTGGATCCTTCACCGGAGCACGGTGTACTCCCCAACCCATAGTGCAAAGCTTCTCAAAACCTTGGCAATTATAAGATACGTGGACTTCAACTCCCAGAATTCCCCAGCCAGCACAGGGAATTGCCATAGAGATCAAGAGATTCCTATTTTCCAGATTCCATCCCAGCAGTGTTACAACATTTCATGGTACAAATAATTTAACCAGTTTTCTCCCTCCCCTCTGACTGAAGGTGGAAAATGAAAGAAAAGGCATTTGTTGTTCATTCCCTCTCCCCTCTGTGATAAGTTGGTCAACCTTCTCTAATTTTGCTATTTAGTGGGAGCTACATTTCTGAACAGCTTACACCCAGTCACTCAACCTAATAATTACACAAACCTCGGCCTTTGAAAACTACTGCCCCATAAAGGTGCTAAGAGATGCAAATGTTTTCCCAACGTGATTTTTTTTTTTTTTTGGAAAAAAAGCAATGCAAATATTTTTCAACCCTTTAAAAAAAAGAGAGAGAGAGAGAATCTGAAATGGCTTGCTGGCACAAGTTCCCACACTGTCAACTGCAGAAGGATGAATCCATTTGGAATAAATATGCCTGCCTTTGCACGTTACGCACCTGTCAATCAGCAGCGGCCTCCAGTTGCGCTCTTTTTCCGTTCCCATTATTGCAACAATGACAATTCCTCCCTCGCTACTTATCCATAACAAAACCTGGACAAATAATGCACGACTTGTTACCAAATGGATTCTCTTTTTTATATATGTACATACATATAAAGGTGACGAGGTTGCGCTGTACGGCGGTCAGGTACATCAGGCTTTGCCCATAGTCCAAATGAGAGTAAGAGGGTAGGAGCCTTCCAAAGGGGGTGGGGAGAAACCCTTGATTTCTTTTATTTTTATTTTTGATATTTTGAGCTCCTTACCCCCATGAAGAGACATTCTGATGTTCGTATTCACGGTAGCATTCTGACAGGGTGGCACTGTGCATCAGTCCTGCCCCTGCTAAACAGGGGAAATAGTATGTTTCCATCGGCCAAGGCAGCCCGTGACTTTTCTGAAGACGGATGGAGCTAACTCTCCACCCCTCTTGGCCGTTTCAACTAAAGTAGCCAAGTTTATTGCAACAATCTTTGGTTTGGATCCATCTTGATGGCTTATTGCTGCCTCCCAGCCCATCGTCAAAAATACTCCTTCTTCTTGTCAACGTCTCCAACGTGGCCTTTGGCTTGGTGGAACTGTTGCAAATCTTCAGGTTCGCCCACCTCACCTCCATGGTCCTCCTGCAAAGAAAACAGGAAGTAGAAAGAGGACAGAGAAGAGCAACAAGGATGATCAGGGGACTGGAGGCTAAACCCCTAAAGAACAGTGGCTGGGGTTGAGTACGTCTAGTTTAGTGCAAAGGACTTGGAGTGGCATGAGAACAGTGTTCCAATATCTAAGGCGCTGCCACAAAGAAGAAGGGGTCAACCTATTCTCCAAAGCAGTGAAGGGTCTTAACACTTCTGTCCTGAAGGCAATGAATGGAAACTAACCCTGGAAAGAAGCAACCTGGAACGAAGGAGAAACTTCCAAACAGGGAGGACAATTAACCAGTGGACCAGCTTTGCCTTCTGAAGTTGTGGGCGCTTCATCACCGGAAATTTTTAAGAAGAGATTGGACAGCCACTTGTCTGGAATGATATAGGGCATCCTGCTCGATCGGGGAGTCAGAGTAGAAGACCTCCAAGGTCCCTTTCACCTCTGTTATTCTATTTTATTCTATTCTGTTACTCAACGCCCCTAGCAGAAATTTCTTTGGCTCTCTCCCCATATATCCTATCTAGGTGTCAAGGTGAGGCAGACCAGACTCTGGCTTATTTCCTTAAGTGCCAGAGTCCACCAGCTCACAACTCCTTGCCACTTTGCCTTTCTCAAGGACGGACTGATCCCAGCTACTTCGCTTTCCTAGCCTTTCCTTTGCTCGATGCCTTCCAGGGGCTTTGGCAATGATGGTTCCCACAACCCAGCCAGCACAAGAAGAAAGGACAATCTGAACGATGATGAGTTGACAAGAGATGGGAAATGCACTGTTGCCTGACCCTCACATCTCTGTGGTGATTGTTGAGAAGATTTGTAATATTAAGCTCCCTAAAGGGAGGGATCTGCAGCGAGCAAGAGGAGGAAAGAACCACCTTCTATTCCAGGTTTGCAAGCGTGGTCACCTGGAAAGGACCCTCCCTCGCCCTAAGCAACCTGCCTCGCTTGAGGGCAAATCAGCACATAGGGAAACCTGGACCCATACACCAGCATGCTCACAGAAAGGTGGCCTACGAGAACAAAAATCAGAAGAAAGAACACCCTCAGGCTTCATACAGGATCTTGTTCTTGGTCCTCCTGATAATCGTCCATTAAATTGTCCGTGACTTTATTTGACCGATCAGCTCCCTGGGGAACAAAGCACACACGGAAGAATAATTTGTCAAGTGAAACGCTAAGAAACAAAGAGATCTTTAAAATGGCGGGATAGATTGCGATGGCCAAAGGCAAGCCGCCTCAGGATCACCCTATAGAGGGGTCTTCAAACTTGACAGCTTTAAGACTTGAGGACAACTCCCAGAATTCCTCCTCCAGTCCATGTTAACTCAGGAATTCTGGGAGTTGAAGGCCACAAGTCTTAAACTTGCCAGGTTTGAAGACCCCTGCTGTAGAGTGACTGAAAATTCAGCGTTGCTGGGCCAAACCATTTTTTTTGGGGGGGGGGGGGGGGGGCGCTAATGGACCAGGAAATCCTCTATCAAAACGATTTACAACTGAAGGAACCCAAGCAGGCCGCTTTCCAACTGTAACAAATTTGTTTTAAATCAGAAAACGCTCGAAGCCCCTTTCAGACTCCAACCCCAAACCAATTTGGGGAATTTAATTCGGTAGATATTCCCAAAGATCCTCTAGTCCCACCCTGTGTGAAATTCCATTGTCGGTTTCACTACCAGCATCTTCCTTTCAGCGTCGGTTTCTGTGTCCCTCCACCCAACTCCTAAATGGATAACAACGAACCTTCGGTATTTTTTCCTTGCTCACGGCCTTAGCCGGACGATTTGTCTGGGGAGTCTGTTCGGCCGGATCCGTTTTTTCTTCAAAGCTGGGTCGTTCTAGTTCTGCCTCCTCAAACTCGTCTTCCCCTTGATTATTGGGGTCCTGAGCTGGGTCAGCAACATCTTTAGGTCCCTGAGAGGAGAAAGATGGTTTAGATCACTTAGCTCAGGAAAGAAACGTTTGCTGTGATTCCAGAAACACCACTTTATTGTTAAAATTATATCAGACTCTTGAAAGCCTGCCAGCGGTTTTACCCCCTCTTATACTTAATAAAAGCAAAGTGGAGTTATTTTGGGTATCTTTGTCACACCTTTCCTATTCAAGGGCTGAGGTGTAATTTCCTTTTGTCAGCAACACCTGAATAACTTTATCAAGATTATCTCTGCATGTCTTTATAGGCTTCACATGATGCCAAATGTCTGCCATCTTCTGTATAGAATAGGCACCTGTAATTGAAGTTCATCTGGTATGGGCATACCTAAACCGTCTCAAATGATTCGACATTCTCTTTATTTCCACACCACCTTTCTTCTCTGTTGCTCCAGCTGGCTCTACCATATTTATTCAAAAGAAAACAAATCAGAATTAAAAGAGACTTAATTAACTGCTAGGTGGGCAGGAGCTGGAGCAAGTAACAGGAGCTCACCCCATTACATGAAGCTGGGATCTCAAACCCAGGCTGCTAGTGTTTGAGCTGACAAGCTCCATGTGTTTAACCTCTGAGCCATCACCATTTCAACTTCATGCATCGTGGCGCCTAGAGTAACCGTTCTCAAACTGTGGTCTGGGGACTTCTGGAGAGGGGTCTGAGACCGTTTCGGGGGTTCTGCAAAATCAAATATATTAAAATTTCCAGATACAGCCCGCATCAACCAAAGTTCTTTGGGGACCTTTTTAAGAATGTAAAGGGATCCTAAATGTTTGAGAAAAGAATGTAAAGGGATCCTAAATGTTCGAGAACTGCTACCCCAGAGAAGCAGAAGCTGTTTAATATACGGTCTTGGTTTTAATAAAAAATATTTCTTAGCCAAAGGAATGCTTGTTTTACCAATGCAAGGTTGTATAAAACTATATCCCTAATTCAGATTAATTTCAGTGTGAAGGGGAAAGAATTTGTCAGTAGCTTACAAAATGTACATAGATGTCTTTGTGTGCGTGGTGGGTGTTATGGGGCAGAAATAAATTTCCCTACCCTTTTTTAAAATCACACTAACCTAGGTCTACTGAACCAGTCAAACCACGATTGGTTCCCACAACACCTTAACCCCCCCCCCCCGAACCCTTAGCAACACACAATAGTGTTTGCATAACGTTCGGTACACTGTGCTTTCTTTAGCACACTGACTTGGGCAAACACCAAATCCTCCTTCATCTAATTGCATTTTGGATCTCCTTGCTGGAAAATGTGATGGTTGTTACTAGCATGGATGGTTTTGAAAAGAGGCTAAAGCAATTGAGAGAGAAGGCTATTAGCTGTTCCAGAGAGCCTTAAATCCTGGGTCCCCCTCTTCCCCCGCCCCCAACAATAACAACTGTAGCCCAATGCAACTGCCAGAGGAACTTGGCAGTTCTTATTCATTTGAAGCCTGGGCATGCTCCCATCTCAACAACTCCTGAGCACTTCACAAACATAACCTTTCAGACCTTGCTTTAAATCCCAAGTTACTTCTTTACATATGGAGAAGGAGCTAAGCTTCCTTGCTTACCATCTGTTTCGGGATAATTGCTTCCTTCTGTAAGTATGTGTGGTTTTCTTTCTTCGTCATGCCAGCATCTGAACAAAGCAAAGTCAACAAGTATTGGGAAGCGGGGAGGAATAATTAAAACATTGAAAAAAACTTAATAAGACTGCCTACTTCCAAATTTCCTTGACCGAGGATGGATGTTCCTACCCTCCAATTAGTGTATCTGAGGGTATATCGATTTTCTACAGACACTTTTCACTTTCCTCGAACAGTCACTAAATGAACTACTGTAAGTCAAGGGCTAACTGTACCACTTCATCGTACTTTATAGCCCTCTCTAAGAGGTTTATAAATGTCTGTCTATCGCCCCCCGTCACCCCCCCAACAATCTGGGTCCTCATTTTGCCGACCTGGGAAGGATGGAAGGCTGAGTCAACCTTGAGTCGGTCAGGATTGAACTCCTGGCTGTGTGCCGAGTCAGCCTGCAATCCCGCATTCTACCCAATGCGCATCATATTGCAATCACTTCACTGGTCAAGAACATTGGATATTTTGGTTTTATGGGAAGAAGGCCCTGAGATCCAGCAAGCCCCTGGCACATATTAACTCCCTCCCTCCATCGGTTCTTTTTTTTTTTTTTTTTGCTAACCACCAACTCGGCAGCTGGACCAATCATCATTTTTCTTCCTACAATTCAGTCATAATTTGCATTCTCCTTCACCCCCAATAAGTTTCTAATCAGATCCCCTCTCTTCCAGTCCAACTTGGCGTCCAAGTTGAAACCCAACATTTAGATTTCCCACAGGCTCCCCCTGTGACCCTATTCCCAAAGAGTTTTGGCTTTGATGGGAAGCAGTTAATCCCCGTTCTCCAAGGGCAGTTGCACGGGACAGTTTACATTGCGAAACTAGGGCCACCTGCCTGGTGCCGGTCACATTCCAGAGGAGATTTCCTTTCCCACTGTGCCATTTTCTGCCACGTCAATGTTCTCTATAGGCGTTGAGCTGCTTTTATAACTCTCTGTTGGCTCTTTTCCCTCTTCTGGTCCATCAGTGCATCTGTCCCTATGCCCTCTGCCCTGAAGGCTGCTAGGGCTTCCCCACCGAAGAATGGAGCAGCCGTTAAAGAGTTGGTTTACGACCAGGGAAAGACAACAACTTGAAATCTCAAATTGTTTTAGATTGTAAGGTGGACGAGTGTATTTTAAAAGGCAGCGTGCTACGTCCTTGCAGTAGTTTTCTCCCAAGCTGAGAAGTTACCAGGACTTCCGCTCCCAGAATTCTCCAATCAACACGGTCATGGCTGAGAATTCTGGGAGTTGAAGACCCTTGCTTCTGGAGATCGTCAAGGTTGGGGATGTCTGGCTAGACAGTTGGAATATGAATGAGGAGATCCAGGTCAGGTTAAAGTCCTTGCATCCTGGTCCCTTTGGGTTGACTCTCCCTATGAAGTGAAGACCCAGCTGAAGATGGAAGCGAGTACCCACCCTTGAGGAAAAGTGAGATATAAAAATAACAAAAGAAGCATTAAATTCAGCCCAACTTCTGATATCTCTGGAAACGTGATCAGGTTTCATCTTGGCTCACCCTTAATTAGGTGGATGAAGTGCCTTGTGAAGGTGGATAAGATCTATCCTCACTATCTGTCCACCCAACGCAATTTAAAACAGTGCCCCAACTTTACCCACAAAGCTCAGACCTGGTTCCATCTTGAAGACTACACACACTACACAATTCTCCCCTGTTCTGTCTCTGTGATGGGACTAACCTCACCATGTTGTTCAATCCCTCCTCTTCAGCCTTACCTGCATGCAGGTCTCTCTCATCTGCTCCTCCTTTTTCAGCTCCCCAGAGGGTGTGTCGCAGCCGCCCTGTTTCCATCTTCACTTGACTGCCATCCGTCTTGCCTTGCTCAGATATGGTATCCAGGTGATACCTTTGCAGGGAAGGAAGAATTCTCCCATCATTCATCTGCGAGTTGCCTTTGTTGACTATCCCTTGCCAGCTGCGGAGGGAAGTGACCATTACAAGCACTGTTTTGCCATTTCATACACTGTTTTGCCATGTTTCATAGCCAGGCAGGGCCCTTCAATTCAGAAAGAGCAAAATACCTCTGCACCAGTTGGTCTTGCTTGTTGGAGAGTTTTTCTTCCAACACCCGTCCTTCCTCCGAAGCAGCTGGGAGGTTGAGCCTGGGTTCGAATTCTTCTGGATGGCCCTGTTGCCCCTGCAGGTTTTCTCCTGCTTCTGGATCCTACAATGAAAAAGAGAGTAGAAGAAGAAACCATGGCTGTGTGGTGTTTGGACCTAATTCTTACTCGCTGGAAAGATTCTAGAGCGATGATTACCTCCCAGCCTCCTTTCCTCCCTTGAAGGAAGGAAGTAAAATTGAACTGAACAGGGATCAAATATTTGTCTCCATTATTTGTATGGAATCTACCGGTATTACTTCGATTTAATCAAACTCATTTAAACTAATCTCAAAGCTGCAGAGAGCCAGATCTTGAGCAAAACTCCAGAGCTAGGGGTTCTATCAAAGAAGACCTCATCAAGTCACTTCTATACGGTGGTCCCAAAGACTCAACCCATTGAGAGGTCAACTCAAAGGAGGTTTTACCTTTACTAAAGATATTTTTATTCAACCAGACACCTTGGAATGGTAGCAAGGGGGCCAATATTCATATGAAAAACTTTATGGAGGCATAACTCCCAACTTGACCTCAATTTCTCAGTCTCCACTTATCTTCTAGGGAAGCATTGTGCAGAAGGGTGCTAACTTAGAAGCATCTACCAGAAGCTGTCCATGGTGCTGATGACATCTTACATGACTTTGTTAGTCCACTCAAGTAGACTTCTGCAACTTTTATCTATCCAAACTCAGTCAATCCATTTATGCTTGGACCAAAAGCGTATGAATATTTTCACCTGGTTCTGCACACTATTCATCATCCGGGTGTAACGAATCATGGGTGCCTCTTTGTGCCGAGCTGGCGGCTGAGCCGCAAATGCCAAATTAACTTCCTTAGGTGGGGCCAGTTGACCAAACCGCACGTCCCCTTGGGCTCCGGCTACGTTGTTGTTGTGTGAAACACGGTTTTCATGCACCATGTTCTCTTCTCCTTGACGTTTGATCCCAGGGGGTGGAATGGCGAAAGAGTTCCCAGCTGGAACCCCAGCTTGGTCCTGGGGTCTCGGAGGTTCTTTAATGCCATCGCCCTTGGAGGCCTAGAAAGAAGAGCATAAAGTAGACTTGAGAAAGACTGTCCAGAAACAAAACAAGGAAGAGCAACCAAGTGTTGACATGATAGAGTGTCCCTGCTGAAGGTTCCAGCAAACTCATCCTCCATAAAACTCCATTCTCCTTTTAAAGTGCCAGTGAATCAAATCCAATTCTTTTTGTGCTTTTTCTACTGATTTTCAGTGCCTTTTTTTCATGGTTGCTACTGTTCTAAACCTTTGAGTTTCCCCAGTCCTCCTAATCATGTTTTGCCTCCATAAACAATTCAGATTTGGAGAAAGATGTCTTCTAAAATATGAAATGACATTGATGGACTGGGCTACTAACCAGGACGAGATGTTGGAAACACACCATATTAGCCCTTAAGGAATTGCTCTGGCTTCTGGTCCCTTTTCTAGCACAACTCTGAGCCTCATAACTCACCTTGACATCTCTGCCAAATTTACGACGAGCTCGGGTTTGCTAAACAACCTACCCATCATCTCCCATTTGCTTATTACAGTGACATGTTTCCTGCCTTACAAATTCTCCCCAAATATACATAGCGGGTGGGAGGTGGGGGGGAATTGCAACAAAATGAGAAGATTACAGGCCACTGGAATGTATCCTTCGGCGTTCCAGGAAAGGAGCGGGGTATCAGGGGAGAGAAAATACATCTGGAAAACAGGGGCTTTGTCCCTTGTTTCTCTAAGGCCAGCCTTGAACCGTCACCTCCTGAAATGAAGCAGGCAAAAACTAGAGATAAGGCCCCAGCCTTAGATGGTTTCCCAGCTGATTTCAACTCCGGCGAACATCTGGAGGATACTGGGCCCAGATTTATGGAGGCTGCTGATCGCAGAATTAGCTAGCGGGCCAGCATGGGATTTGAACCTCTTTGAGAATCGAACTGTTTTCTTACAGTATGGATTTGTTCTCCAAGCTGGCTTGATCACCACGTCAGCAGCAATTTCCTGCAAACTGCCTCCCAAACAGTTTGGTGGGTGGGCCAGTGGAGAAGCAGAAGTGCGTGTGTTGTTTTAGCCTAATTCTTTGCTCCTTCCCCAAAAACTCCAAACTTAAAGAGAAACAAGCCCAGGGCGGTTCTAGAAAAAAGGAACCTGGGACCAGCCTGGCATTTTCCCTGGCATTTCCAAGCAAGAGGCCAAACTTTTGGAAGGGGAACTAAGAACTGGAATGTTGTACCTTTGGTCTAGCAAACGGCAACACATTCGACCCCAGTGGCTGACCGTAACGCTGCTCTTTGGCTGTCCCTGCATCCTTAAAACTCGGCATCTTTTGAAGGGTTTCCTTGAGCTTCCGGAACTCCTCCATCTGAACCTGGAGGGAGAGCAGAGATCCACAAAATCCCCAAAGCTTTAGATCTTTGATAAGAAGAGACCTATTGGATCAGTAAGTCAGGGTGCTGAGACCGATCCGTTTTCCTTCTTACTGTTCCCCCACAGCTGTTATCCAGCCCCGTCTCCCCCGAATTGTCCTCGATCTGCCTTTTCTTCCCTCATTTCCTCTAAATCGCTTTCAGAAGACATCTGCTGTATAGAACGGCCTTCCATATCCAGTGGCAGTGAGTTCCCCAGGTTAAACCCCCTCAAAGTGGCCTTTCCTTTAATGTCTCCCACATTAGGCCATCTGCCACTTTGGGGTGGGGGTGAGGAGTCGTTACCTTGTGTTAAGGGAGACTCATCTTTCTAGCTTTAGGCTATGCTGGCTGTGAACCACAGGAGCTGAGGTTTGGCACCTCCAGACAAGGCCAAAGGTTTACACGGAGAACCGAGCACTGAGTTACCTGAGCATTGAGGAGCTGCGAGTGGACATCCTGATGGGCTTTCCGGAGGAGCTTGCTCTCTTCTCTTAGTTTAAAAATAGTATCTGGAAATTCAATTCAGTTTGGTTAAAGGGCGCTCTCTCACCCTCCTCCTCCTCCTCCTAGAGCAGGGGTCGCCAACCAGTGGTCTGTGAGAAAATTGTGGTGGTCCTCAGAGAAATGGCATCCCCCAAAGCAATTCACCCAGGCTGCGCGGGAATACAAGGCTGTGCCGCCCACATGGCCCGAGGAAATACATAGCTTGCGTCGCTTGCATTGTGAACAACACGAGGTAGTGAGGGGAGGGGGAAGGGGCGGGGGGGGGGGAACTTGCCCCACTCGCCCCATGCGCCCCGCCTGGCCACCCGGCTGCTTCTTTCCTGCACGTAAGGAAAGCAGCAAAAGTCTTTCCCCCCCCCCCCCAAACTCCTCCAGAAATGAGTCTTTGGGACCCTGCAAGGCCTCCTGCTCCTGCGCCGGCAAAGACTCATTTCTGGCGGAATTTGGTGGGGGGAGAAAGAAAGACTTCTGCTGTTTTCCTTGCATGAAGCCAAAAGTCTCTCTCTCTCTCTCTCTCTCTCCCCCCGAGAATGGAGCTGGAGATGGTAAAGAATGATCAATCGGTAGGAAAATGGGGTAGGGGATTTTCCTGCAAACTTTTGGGGGGATTTTTCCAGGGTCTCTGGTCTGCAGGGTTTAACATTATGAGTATGGTGGTCCCTGAGGCCCAAAAGGTTGGCGAACCTTGTCCTAGAGGGGCTCGGATGCCATCTTTAAGAGAGGCATTCCCCTCGCCACCCCTGGGCTCACTGTAGACCCCAGGCTGTGCCCTTTACGTCCTCCCCACCTTGTAATCCCACCACCTCGTTGTCCTTCTCCCGTTGCAGCTGGGAGTATTTCTGGTTGTGGGTCTCCAGCGCCTTGCGATGTTCCAGTTTCAGCCCATTGTGTTGCAGCTGCAGGTCCAGAAACTGCTTCTTGACTTCTTCGTGCTGGTTCTGGGGAAGAGTCAAATCCAAAGCAAAAACATTGGGAGTAGCCAGGCCTAAAAAGAAGGAAGCGTCTCATTTTCTGCCTTCCCAAATTTCACCATTTATGGTCCCTGGTTTTTTGTTTTTTTTTTTCTTTTGATCCTAAGCCCAAACTGGACAGGTTTAGATGGAAGGCGCAGTCCAAACTGATCCTCGACTTAACAACGGTTCAGCATTGCAACGGCACTGCAAAAAAAGGGACTTACGACTGTTCTTCAGGTTTAGGACCGTTGCAGCATCTCCATAATCACGTGATCAAAATTTGGACGCCGGCAACTGGCTCCTATTTAGGACCGTTGCGGTGTCCTGGAATCCTGTGATCCCCTTTTGCGTCCTTCTGATAAACAAGAGGGAAGCTGGATTCACTTAGCAACCAACTTAACCACTGCAGCGATTTGCTTAACAATTCCGGCAAGAAAGGTCGTAAAATGGGGCAAACCCCACTCTGTACTTAAGCAACCAGAGAGGATTTCCTCCCTAAACTTGGTACCTGGAAGGAATAAAACCCAGTTGGGGGTGGGGTGGGGGGAACAGGATTTAAATTCTCCCTGCAGCAGAGTGGTTGAGTTTGGATTATCAAGGAACCAAGCACGTCTGTCTTCCTTACCCCTTAACGTGTATTTATCCAATTGAGCTGATCCAGGAGAGCTGAAGTTTCTCTCCCCTGAGTGAGTCTTGGGGAAAATGCATGCGGGGCTGCAGCCACTCTTCCATCAAGCCAGGCTGACACATAATCGATAACCCCCGATGGCATGACGCAATGGCGCAGTGCTACTTAACATGGCCAAGTTTACAAGCCAAACAATTGCTGCTTTTACTTGAGTAGCAGGAGGGAGAGATTTATGGGGTCTTACTGGCCTGGCCTATTTCCATCCATGGATCCCTTCAGTGTGTTGGTGCGCAAGGTTTGTGTGTGTGCTGAACTGAATGAGGTAGGAATATTTGTCATTCTAGATTTCCCTGCCTCCGGTCTTCCTCACAGTTTCTGCAGCCCCCTTGTCATCTGCGGCAATTAGCAAGGGATAATTAGGGTTGCCAACATTAGCCAGACCCTGCGGTTTTAAAACTCCCTTGTTCCCAAAGTGGTTGAGCTGTCCAGTGTTGGAAACGGTGTCCTGATCTTATCCAAGGCAGGGCAGCAAACCTCTGATGAATACAGAGTTTGAAAAAAAAACAAAACTGGCTTATCTCAGGCTTGAATTGTGAATAATTTGAATGCCGGGAGCTGTTGAAAACAAGATGCTGGATTACGTTGCCCTGAATAGTGACTGTTGTGGCTTGTCGGCTGCACTCCAGCAATCAGCAATCAGTGGAGGAGGAGCGGGTGTGGGAGTCAGGGTCAGCCTCAAGGCAACCTGAGAGCTCTGAGGGGGAAGAGGGAACGGAGCTGGCAGAGAAAGAGAGAGAGAGAAACAGAGGTGGAGACTGGGCCATCCATAAGCCCTCAGATGGAGAGTCCACAGCCCCCAGGTCTGGAGGTGGCTGATGAGGAAGAGCAGGGAGAGCTGGTTACAGGGCCTGACGTGCGATGCACAGAAGGCAGAGGAGAGGAGAGCAGTGGAAATCTATGGGCCTGTCCTTGGGATGGAAAAGCCACCGCTGCTAGCGAAGCCCCACCTAGCTCTGGGGATAGAAGGCAGCGGGCAGAGATGAATAGGCATGACTTGTTAGCCCGGACAGACTTGAGAGAAACTTTTTTGCCAGAGCTGCTGGTGCTCCCAATAAAGGAATCATTGATTTAACTTTAGAAGGTTTGTCACGTTTGGGGAGTCAGAACAGTGACAAGTGCTCTCCAGCGCATGTTTAGACAGCCACAAGCTACCCAGACTAGCCAAACTTATGAATACAAGGCGAATCCTTACCTTCAGTATCTTGTGTTGTGAACTTAAGGAACCATATCTATTCATAGAATCTTGCTGTGGTGAGAAAAAATCACAATAATAATGATTGCAACTAACCGGGCAAATAATTCACAATTGTCTCTTTCTCTTAAACCTACATAAGCACCCTCCTCTCCCAGCTGGGTTTGCATCCGTTTTAATGGCCTACATTGAATTTTGCTTGTTTTCTCAAATTAACCCCTGCCAGGTTCACACAACGCATCAAATCACCCTCTGAGCAAATAGGCTTAGAATCCTATAACCTACCAAGATCCCCTTGCAGAGTCAGAAAAAAAAAAACCAAACAAACTTAGCACATAGTAAAACTGCAACAACTTGGTCTTTATGTGTTGTGGGAACTCTGTCTCTTTATTACGGACAACTTTTAAGTCCTGCCACAAAGATGAAAAGATGACAGTGGCTGGATAACTTGGTTTTGGTACGCTGAATTTCCTAGTTTCCTTTCCTGAGAACATGAGTAAGGATGGGTTAGCAAAGGAAGAGAAAATATCCTCTAAAACTTTTAGTTTCTCTAAAACTCTTCTCCCTCTCTTTCTTAAGCACACATATGACTTCCAAAGGGATGCAGTTTTACCCACCTTTTCTTTATTGAGTGCTTCCTGCGCCTCCAGTTTGTATACTAAAAAATCTACAAGGCAAAGCAGAACAGAAAGGAAATAAAAGAAATGAAGGAACAGGGAAAACAGTGAGATGCAGGTTTACTGAAACTTGCTTCAGCTTCCAGAGAGGTTTATGAAGTTAATAGGATGCAATGTCCCCACTATTTAAAAAAATAATAATTCCTGGGCAAGCAAATAAAATTTTAGTTTAAGCTAATAATATCTATTTATGAGCGGTTACCGGAATGCATTGCATTCCTGGGAGCATCAAGTAAGGAACCGGAGGCCCCAGTAAGCGAATCTTAGTGGAAGATTAGCATGGATACATTTGTGTAGATTTCATATTTTGATGAATTAAACACATGTGCACATTCACTGGACATCCATATATGTCTTTTGAGGGTAGAATCGTTGGTTCGGTACCATTGCAGCATTAAAAATGCAACAGCAATTGTGCATTCTCCAAAGCAACTTTCTTTGAGACACCAGTAATTTTGCCCGTTAATTTTGTCCTGGAGAAATCATTGTGTTAGTAGATGACTAGGTTCTTTAGGATCTTGCAACTAACAGGAAAGGATTTTATGATTCTTAAATCACGATGATTATACTAAAGGTTGGAAAGACACCAATTCTCCATCAGTCCTTCCATGATCTAAAGGATTTGTCTCTCTTCCTTCATCGGTACAAATATTTAACTATCACAGCTCCAACGAAAGGGCTAGGAATCTGGGTTGCATATGTCGGCTTTATTTTTTTATTTTCTTCTACCTACACAGTTCCTGGTAACCACCTGGATATTATCTGTGTCATTATCCTGGCTGCCCAAGAGAAATGCTTTCCTCCAGTTGTTTTAACACCTTTACACTTTAGACTCCAGCTGTTATAGTTCAACACCTGCAAATAGGGCTGCCCAATACCAGAGGCGCTTAGGTAGAGGTGGAGCTGGATTTTGTGGTGTGAAAAAACAAATCCTAACAGACCCTAAAAAATCAGGGGTGTCCAATTTTGTCAAGTTGTGGACTTCAATTGGCTGGGGAATTCTGGGAGTTGAAGTCCACAAGTCTCAAAGTAGCCACGGTTGGATGCCGCCCCCATCACCTTATGAATTCATTCTCCTATGACTTCTTCAGTGCCAGACAAATTTAGCCATCACAGCGCTAAAGACACACAGAAGATATTTTGTATCCTGCGATATTTCACTGCTCATTTCTGCCTCCTGGCCTACGGAACCTGCCTCGGTCTGATTTTAAGTGTCGAGAATTCAAATCACACCGGAACTATCTTTTCAAAAGAACGGATCGTGATCCGAGATGAAAAACGTACCTTCTTTCGTTTTCTTGTGTTCGCTGCGTTCTTTCTGCAAGGAACGCTCGAGCCGGGATCTGTGTTCGTAAACAACTGCAACCAAGTTGAAAAAAGAGAAGTACGTACAATAAATAACAAGCAAAATGCAACCTGAATATTCACACAGTTAAGAGTTCTTTTTTTAAAAAAAGAAAAGAATCCATTTGCGTTGTGTTCAATCCCAGTCCCATAAAGTGGATTGCAGGATATTTCCATCCATCAAATTCAGTAAATATAGTTGCCTAATGAATAATGAAGAATTATTATTCCTGCCTGCCACATAGCAATTAAGGATCAGAATTTTAAAATGCTAACTTAGTGATGAGGATGATAAAAAAAAAAGAAGATAACTGCACCAGAACTTCTCCAACATTCTTCTCATTCAAAGCAAAGGAATTGCGAAAGAATATTAACATTTGGCACACTGGGTTAAGAAACCATGTTCAGAATTGCTCTAATAGTTGATCAAACCTGGACTGTGTTTTTAGTTTCGTGTCTTAGAATGTAAGTCTTTTAGCCTTTATGTTTCATTTAGCTCCCTGAATCTCTGCCATCCAATTACAGCCAAAATCTTGGGGATTTTTAAGAGATGTTGACTTACAATGTTGATAGGTCAACTTTGGAAGACTTGATTAGGGACAGATCTTATCTAGGTGGTTGCTAAGAGTGGACAATGATTCCATGGCACATAAAATGAAATGGGAAGTTGATTTTGGCAAGCGCTCCCAATTCAGACTGAAATTAGATGGTGACCTAACACAAAAGCCTCTATCCCCAGCCTGCTGAGCACTTGCACACGTTGCTGGAAGTTGTTGCTTTTTACCTTTTGAGTTTTAAAAACAGAGACAGCTTCCTTCTTGTTATTCTTTTTCCATCCTCTTAAGTCAAACAAGACCAAGGCCTCTTTTCAAATCCTTGGATATTTAAACAATGGTGTTTTGTAAGCTTGAAAAGGGAGTTGGGTGTTTTACAAAGTTGTTTTTTTTTGTTTTTAAACTGATCAAATTTTGATAGTCTGGCAGGGAAATAACAACGGTTGGATCAGACCTGAAGTTTCAGAGAAGATTTGGCAACAGCACACTATGGACTAGAAACACACACACGCCAACCTGAAAGTTTTGTGAGGCAGGAGGGCTGAATTTGGCAGCTCAAGCTCAAGCTGGTAAGCTTTTCTGCATTTCACGATAGGCACGCATCCTTTTTAGAAAAAAAACATTCAAAAATGCTCCAAGTATTCCCATTCCTACAGTCTCCATCCATCCTGAATTGCATGGTTCTTTTTTAAACTACATACTAACGTCTCCTGGTGATTGGCCCAAAGTCACCCAGGTAAGGCTAAGGCAGGACTTGAACTCACCTCTTTTTTTTAGCCTGGTGCCTTTAATCACTAGACCAAACAGTCTCTCTGTGGATTGAGGAGGGGGTTGAAATAATCCCGCCCCACTTTTTGCTTTATAGCTAGAACTGCACTTTCATCTTCACCTTCCCCCAACCTCAGTACTAGCAGGAGGTTTTCTTTACATCCGAGGTGAGTTTATCGCAACAGGCTAGACTAGGTTAAAAAAAAAGGGGGTTGCATCATTTGTGTTGTATGAAAGCCCAGCCTTGTAAAAACATTATGGATGAATGAGGCTCTAATGTGATTGTTTTCTTATGGCACCAGCCAATGACGTGGACGCAACTGTTTTGTTCATTCGGATTTTCTGCCTTACATGGCACACCCACAAAAAAGCATTACAGCATTGGGAAAAACCCAGTTTATAGGCAAACGGTTAACTAGGGGCTGGTTTTGCTGTGAGAGATCAGACTTTTCGTTCAAGCAGAAGTGGATCTGAGGAAAGCTTTCGAGGGTCTCGGCTTCTTTGCGGGTTTATTCTAGGAAACAACCACCAGCTGGAAAAAGCAGGCTAGGCTCTGCGAGCAGAATTACTGGAATGGGCACGAGGCCAGGATTTCTGAGTGGAGAGCCAAGTCCTACGCCAAGCAAGCAAACATAAAAAATACCGCACAAGCCAGCAGGCTGAAATAAATACATACACACACACACACGCACGCACGTAAGCAATGAGTCACAAGGATTTTCAGAGCCGGAACAACGTGTGTGTGTCTGCATCTAGAGAAGGCTGCAATTTTCAGAAAAGGCGTCTTTTCTGCATTTGAGCAAAATATTGTGAGCCCCACAACGCAGGGTTTGGAGATTTCTTTTTTTTTAAGTTTTGGCATGTCGAAGAAGTCAAAAGAAAGGTGGCACATAATATATAGCCTTGCAATCTGTATTTATTTGTATTTATGTATATTTATAACCCCCTTTTTTTAATGAGCAACTCAAAGCAGTGGACGTATCTAATTATTCCTTTTTCCTCCTGTTTTCCTCAAGACAACAACAACAACCCTGTGAGGTGGGTTGAGCTGAGAGTGACTGGCCCAAGGTCACCCAGCTGGCTTTCATGGTTTAAGGCAGGATTAGAAATCAGGGTTTGTCAGTTTCTAGCCTGGTGCCTTAACCACAACCGCTCTCAAACTGCATGTTAAAAATGTACTCTCCGGCACCAAGTTTCTTGTCCTCTTTCTTGGAATGATCAAAAGGTGACTCAATAATCCCTTCTATACTTTTTGATGCCTTTATCACTTCTTCCTATCTGTTTGATGCTTATCTTTGACCCCTGTCTTCTGGCTGCTCCCCAATTCCTGATAACCAGAGGAAAAAGGAAGTATTCTCAGCTGGAGAATGTTGACATTTCAAAAAAATTCAGGTCATGTTTCTAGTCCCCATGGCTGGGAATTCAGGCTTCAGATAAAACGCGGGGCCAAGATCTTGCAGACATCTTTTGAAGGTGAGAGATGACGGCAGAAATTCTGTTTCCCCTCCCGCCAACCCCCTAATATTAAAGTTTGGCTAACGGGTAGCAACAAGCCTTCCATAGCATAATGTACAAGATCCACAGCCATAGGTGAAGATAGCTTAAAATTAGAGACAGGAAGTGAGTTCTGCAGGATTTGGAGACGGTGTTGTGGTTAGCCGGCAGCAGGTACAGACGGCTGAGGAGAGCGAGGACTCAGATGAGGGGCCAGGACCATTAGGGAGTGGACTGCTGCCTTCAGAGATTGTGGGGGCTGGCAGCAGCGATGAGGAGGTTCCCGAGGAGCCTGTGCCAAGTGTGCGTGTGCGCAGGGCTGCTCACAGGAAAGAGCAACTGCAGCAGCACGGGTGACTCGGGAGTACGGCTGCAAGGTAATGGCCCCTCCTTCAAGGAGATAAAAGCCAGCTGTGAATCGGACGTTCTTTGCAGGAAGCAAAGACGTTTTGAAACTCCAGCCTTGTGGACACTGCAGTATTTTAAGTTGGTATTTGAAGACTCTTCTGTTGTGAAATACTTCTTATCTGTGATTCTTGGCAGTCTCATAAAGTTTTGGCAAGGCTTGTGCTTCTCGAAGTTAATTAGTTTGCAGCAGCCTTTTAACCGGGGATTCGTAAGAATCATTAAAAAGGTTTCTGTTCCCTTTGGTTCGTAATTGTTTTATTGGAAAAGGGTTCGGGTCAGAACAGACGGAAGGAAATCCTCTGTCACTCAGCCGACAGATAAAACCGTGGAATTTGCTCCCAGAGAGGCTGACCGTCTTAGCCCTGTTATACGACATACTCTGACTTTTCCCAAATTGAAATCCATATTTTGTTTTTCCACTGTTGCGTGAACTAGGCCAACAACGCATTACCTCTTCCTTTGGTGAGCTGTACATGGCATCAACCCAGCCATTCTGATTGTAACTAGCCATGATTTAGGCTCTGCGAAAGTAGGCGGGTTGCTCTGCTAGTTTTAAGCCTGAACTTTTGAAAAGGGGACCACCAGGTGCTTAGAAGGATACCTAAATGGGACTTTAGTGTCCTGTTAAGCCATACGTGGGCAGGAAGACATGCTTCCCTGTGGATTATTGCATGTAGTCCTCAACTTACAACTATTCCTTTACTGACCGACGATACTGGGGGGGAAAAAAAAGACTATCGCGATGGTTGCAAGATTTCCCCAGGGCCATGATGGCGAACGTATGGCACGCGTGTCACAGGCGGCACACAGGGCCATTTGTGCCAGCACGTGAGCCACAGGCAAACTTACCTCACTGTGCATGCGCGTACCTCACAGCTGATTTTCGGCGGGTTTGAGGCCTTTTTCGGCCTCCCAGAGGCTTGAGGAAAAGCCTTTGCAGGCCAAAAAAATAGGCCCATTTTATCACTTCCTCTTAATATGGGAAGTTATGAAATGGGCCTATTCGGCCTGCAGAGGCTTTTTTCAAGCCCCTGGGAAGCCCAAAAAGGCCTCAAACCCGCCGAAAATCAGCTGTGAGGTGCAGTGCAGGTAAGGGGGGGAGGGGGGATTGTCCATGCATGCGCAGGGGGTGGTGGGGGCACGCATTGGCTTCTGGGTGCTGGCAGGTAAGTGCGCGTGTGCTAGCGGGCACAATATTTGGCACAGGAGTCCCAAAAAGGTTTGCCGCCACTGCCTGCCCCAGGGCCACCTGATCCCCTTTTGGAGACCTTCCAACAAGCCAAGTTAAGGGGGGGGAATCAAGATTTGTTTTAATCACCGTGTTACTCACTTAGGAGCTGCAGTGATTCGCTTTAACAACGGTGGCAAGAAACGGTCGTAAAATGGGTCAAAACTCACTTAACTAACTGTCCTAGCAATGGGGATGCTGGGCTCAGCCAAGGATTATCTGTATCATTTGTTTGTTTGTTTGTTTGTTTATTTAACTTACATTGCCGCCTTTTCGCCCATATTATTGTCATGTTGATGGGGATCGAAATGCCCCATTAGAAAACCTTCCCCAGCGCCATTCTTCTTCTCCTCTCAATCGCCCTCATTTGTTCTTATTCGATGACCTGGTAACGGGCTCTCATCAGTGCGGACAAAAGATGGCCTAGATAAACCTCTGGACCGAGTCTGGTTTCTCTAATCCCAGGATGGGCACGATGGTGCCCAGGGGCTCCCCCTCCCCTCACGTTTCCCCTCACGGTGCCTTTATCCTTTCACTTTTCTTTTAGAGTGATTGAAAGCTGAAAGGAGGGGGTGGGGGGGAGGCAGTCGTCTTCCTTCCTTCCTTCCTTCCTTCCTTCCTTCCTTTCTTTCCTCCTTCCCTTCTTTCTTCCCTCCCTTCTTTCCTTCCTCCTT